GACGCCTGTTTTGTTCTCGGGGCTGCCGTTTCCCCGCAGCGGGGCCGCCTGGGACAGCGAACACCCGGCTTCCGCGGCGCTCTGTTCTATAGACGCTCCCCGTGTGGGAGCCCGGCCCGGGCGGCGGGCAAGCGCGGGACCTCCTGGGAGTTGCTGGCCTGGCCGTTTTCCCGGCCATGGCAGCGGGCGGAGCCGGTCTCCGTCTCCCCGGGAAGCTGCTTCAGGAACCGCTGAAGGGGGGGGGGGGCAGGGAAATAGAATCTGGGCCTCAGAGGAAGAATGGGGGAGCCCCCCCCCTCAGGTTGGCCTAAGAGGCCCATTGGCAGCGCTCCAGCCGCAGGTTGACAAGGAGGCTTTTCTGGTTCCCTCTCGGGACAGTTTGGCCACCCAGTGGGGAGAAGCCCTTCTGCCTGTCCTTGGCTGTGCCCCGCCCACTCTGCTGCTTCACTCAGGGCCAGGTGCCCCCCCCCCCACCCGCTGCCTTCTGGCTCTTGGGAGAATGTGGGTCTGTGGAGGCCTTTCCTCCCCTCCCCCAGCTTGCTCCCCTCTCTGCCCAACAGGCCTGGATTGGAGGTTTCCAGAGCAGCGGCCCCTCAGGGAAGCCCCACATCAAGGCCAATGCCCGCTGGATCGCATTCAGCACAGACCTGGCAGGTAAGAGGAGCCCAGCCCAGCCTACTTTTCCCACTTGCCCTTTGACCTGGCAAGGAGTTTGCAGAACCCCCCCCCTCCCTGGCAAAGGGTCCCTTCTGAAGGGGGGAAGGCTCCCCTCCGTCTGGCCCCCGTTTTCTCCTTCTGCTCCCCAAAACCGACTCCTACGGGTAGCTGTCCAGCCTCAGGGCAGCTCTGTGAGTGGAAGGCAGAGCAGGGAGAGGCTGCCCTCTGCCTGGGAGGTGGGCTGCTCTGTCTTCATGGGGTCTCTGCCTTTGCCAGGGGTGCTGGGAGCTGTGGCCCTGGAGAGCCCAAAGGGGAGCAAGAGAGCTGTCTCCCATCTGCGCTGCCATTCAGGTGAGCTGGGGGGGCTGCAGGGGAGCCTTTTGGGGAAGCGGGCAGGTCTCCCATGCAGGGAACAGGAAGGTTTACTGGTGAGAGAACAACCACCAGTGAAGGGAGGAAGGGAGAGCCGGGCTACCTGCTTTCAGTTCTGCTGGCCAGTTGCTCAAGGGAAGCGGTTGCTGCTGCAATCGCTCTCTTGCACAATTGCCGGAAGGAAGGGTGTCACGTGACTCCGACACCCCCTCTCCCCCCCCCCCCCCAGCCTTGTCCTACTTTTGGCAGACTCTGAGCCAGGGCCAGCCCAGCCCCACCCGGGTTGCTTGCGGGTGAGGACAGGAGTTTCACACAGAGCCTGAAGAAGTGCGGGCATTGCACCTCCGCCTCCAACGGGCCCAGGACTGTGGGCTGCCAGCTCAGCCCCTACACCCACTGTAAGCCCTAAGCTGGACCTGAAACTGCCCTGCCTGCCTGTCTCGGAAGCCCGGCTGACCCCGCGCACACTGGGCGGCTGCTGCTGCTGCTGCTCTCCTTCCTGGGGGAGGCCCTTTGCACTGGTGGCTCTGCAGTCCAAAGCCTCTTGTCAACTGCAGCTCAAGGAGGGAGGGGGAAGCAGGAGGTGCTCCGGGGGGGCGGCTGTGCTCACTCCCACCCCCTTGGAACCGAGAAAACGATGCATCGGGCCCAAGCCTCAAAGGGCTTCCTGACTTTGGCAGACAGACCCACGTGTGGAAGCAGAGGGACACACAGAGGGAATCTGAGCAGGAAGGGGAGCCGCTGGGTTGTGGGGGCCCAGATGGGCAGGGGGGTCTTGGCTGAGCCTTCTCGGCTGCAATTGTCAGAGACTCAAGGAATGGAAAATGACAGAGTGAACCAAATAATAGCAGGATCAGACCTTCCTCCGCCCTCCTCCCCCAGGCAAAGGCAGTTTCATCCCGCTGGCTGGAAGAGAGGGGGTGATCTGGTGTCAGACTGAATGGTCGGGGGGGGGGGGGGGGGGGGGGG